TAACATTCATAAAAAACATTGCATTTTGCTAAAACAGGGCAAATTAGAGCATGTTTGAAAGCAGAGGCTTTCTTTGGGCGATGGCACTCTTTTTTCTCCAAGCCAAGAATCTTTGTGAAATGGAAACACAGGGCGAACGTGGGGATATAATGAAAAAGTATTGCCCTGCCCGTGTACATTTTATATACATAGAAGGGTTTGAAAATAGAAAGTGTCTGGACAAGAGCAGTCGGTGAAATGTGGAAAATATGTTGCTGAGGTATGTGCCTTGCGGAGTGACTTACGAGGTTTACAGCATAGGCAGCCTAAATCTTTTTTTCCCCTTCCCTCCATGCTCACAAGAGCTGGTTGGTTCATTAAAAAGGGTTTGCTACAGGTTTTTCAAACCTTGCTTCACTTTCGGGTGCAGCGGCACAAAGGGATTCTCCTCCCCGATCAGGTTTTCCAGGCCTTGCAAACCTTGCTGTCTCTCGAAGTCACAGCCAACCTGTTCTCTACACATCAGAGCTCCTTTTGATCACAAAACTTAATCCTAGTGATCTTGCTGCTGGTACTGTGCTTATTTGTTCACAGGTGCTGTCTACGGAAACCCAGCACATTTGCTGTTGATTCTGGGAAAGCCAGGCCTACTTTCCAACGGGTATTGCTGGAAGTTCTGGGTGCTATTAGTTCCTATGTCCATCATATCTTGTCTTTACTTTCAGCTATCCACATAATGAAAGTATTGACAAGCTGAACAAGAGTGATGGAACAACTCTTGTCAGGGGCCTTTCTTGATTGCCTTAGCTTGATGCTGGGATACTACAACCACTATTTTAGTCCTGACAAACAGTGGAGCTTAACCTGCAGTGCATAATACCTCCTCCTTTTCACCCACACTTCATAAACCATACAGTGATTACTCATACAGTGACTATGTGCTTTGGGAACACCTTAACACTAGCTGACAGATCCCTGAGACAGGACCCTTTCTTTGGAAGACATAGGGTTGCCAGATGGTTTAACCAAAAATACCGAACACCCTCCCCCTCCCCAAAAAAAAACACCGGGGGAAAAAATTCTGTTGAGAAAAAAAAGGGGGAGACCAAAGTTGTTGAGCCCCCCCCGACAACAATTAAGCATAAAAAAATTAAAAATCAGCACGGCCCCTTTAAGAAGAGGCTTTTTTGCCGGCTGTCATCTTGTTTTTCTGTTCCAGCCACAAGACAAGCCCCTGCGGAACCAGGTAAGCCAGGGGGGAGGCGTCTGGGGGGCCAGAGGGTGGGCCCGTTTCTTGAGTGTGTCGTAGGATTGCCAGGTGTCCAGTATTTTCACCTCCTGGCAGGGGGAAAAAACAGAAAATACTGAACATTTTAGATGTCTGGTATTTTCTGAATTTTTTTACCGGACAGGAGGCGAAAATACTGAACGGTCCGGGTCAATACCGGACACCTGGCAACCCTAGATGAGAGATGATAGTACGCTCTTATCTGTCATGTGAAGACCACCCTGCCAAGAGCCCACTCTACTGCTAGGCTACTACACAGTGTAATCGGCCCCTGCTTTGATTCAGGGTGGTAGAGGGCCTTGTTCATAGGCCATACGTTTAATTAGGTCACAACAGGTGCTTGCCCCGTGTAGAGGGAAGACTGTGCCAAATGATTAACAGGTCCCTTGCACCATGGGGGACACACCTTGGAGCAGGGTGATGGAGGAATTGAGTGGTGGTGGGGAGGGATAACGAATGCTTCATGGAAGAGGCAAGTTCCATGGTGTTGGTAGGACGGGGCTTTGTATAAGTGCACCTGGAGGCTGTTCCAGGCAAAAAGGACAAAGTGGAAGAATGTATGAAGTGAGGAATGGGCAAAGGAGACAAAGGAGAGAGGCTGGTGTAGAAAGAAGAGAGGGGAGCTGGTAGAAGGAGATGAGGCTGGCAGAGAAGAAGGATCACTGCTCTAGGTCTTCCCCTCAACAAACCAGTTCAATGACACACTATACTTCTACCTAAACCTCCCCTGCCAGTGGTTGCACACAACGGCTACGTCT